TTAACATGAGAAATGTTAATGTAGGTTTGAAAAATTAGTGTAGATATGTTAGTAGGGATTAGAGATATTAATCCCGATACTTTAAGGCTATTAAATATTATTTACACTGATCTATGTAATATCTTTAAGGATGTGTAATTTCTACTCCCATCCTTCTTTCTGGATCCGAAATACCATTTCTGGTCACAAATGTAACTTATTGCATTTCATGTATTTTTCATGTGATCGAACATAATATCCGGTATCACAATATCCGTCATCATACTATATACTGATTATAAATATAAAATATGTTAAAGTTAATAAAGACTTATAAAATTATATATTAATTGTAAAAATATTTAAAATTTCAAATTTATCAAATTTTTTAAGTTTTTTTTAAAAATTAGATTTATTAAAAAATTTTTACTTAATAAAATATTTATTTATTTATTTATTTATTTTTTAAAAAATATTAACAGTGATTAATAAAATATTTATAAAATCATAATAAAATATATATATTAAAAGATAACTTAAAATTTACTATATACTAGGTAATGCGTAGCATTGTGTGTCTGAAGCCTAACACATGATGATCAGCATGCTACACAAACGCGAAATAAGCATATTAGTGTTACATTAAAATACAAATATAGACACGCGTGCGGACACACAAAAAATTTCCAAATTGCGTTTTTGATGTTAATTTCATAATTTTTATGTTCGTGCATCAAAAAGGTACCATTTTTTGAGCCAAATGCATCAAAAATGTAACTTTTGTATCACATGCCGAATAATTTAGTGTCAAGTACCCCAGTGGCACCGACAGATTTTCACTGATCGACAGCGATTGACCAATTAGATTACAAGATCGGGTGTAACGTGAAATCAAAACAAAAAACTAACATTTTTTAAAAAAACCACCATAACTCAAAATTTCGCCTATGTAACCATCTTCTGCGCTTTAGTAAAAAAATTTCCTTGCAAAATTTTAGTATAAGACATGTATCGTTATGATTATAAACCTGACTCCAATGTACTGTTTTATGGCTTTAAAAAATTGTCGATCAGTGAAAATCTGTCGGTGCCACTGGGGTAGTTTCCGCTTCGCTCCGGACAATAATATAAAAAATCATAAATAAATTAATAAAATTTATTATTTTTTAGTTTTAAATATATCAGAAGTGATGGGACGAGCTATATATTTTATATTTTTTATAAGATAAAAATAAATAGAAAATATATTTATATATAACTTTAGAACTTTTATTAAAACAACTGTTATATTATTGTAATAAAAAGACCATAGCTTCAGATTTTAAATAATAAAATGTTATTAAAAAGATCGTGACGTCTAAGTTGTAGATTTCTAAATAATATACGAAAGATTATTTAGATAATTCAAAATGAATTCATCAATTAGTTATTAGATAGATAATAATAATTCGGTGTAAATCTCGTCAATGTTATTAAACAAATTTATAACCCATGATTTGATCGGCTGATCAACATGTGACAATACATGACCCTTGTGTACTACGTTCCTGGTAATTTTGTAATTTCATTACTACGTTCCTGGTATCAATTTTTTGCTAAAACTTTTTTTTTGTTAATTTGATCTCTTTTCACAGCACTAAATATATATATTATAAATCTAAAAACCTTATATTTTGATAAAACGGGTTTCAAAACCAGGCTTCAAGATTCCAAACCTAAGAACTTTACGGTTGCGTTGTAGATTGGACAAATTTATTATTTATTATGTAATAGAAAAATTTTATTTCTGAATAATAATAATAATAAATGTACGAGCATTTAATTCTGAATAACTCATGAAATACATAATAAAGAGGTACTCAGACTCAACAGCTTGACAATTGTTTTCAAAGTAACTAGAATGAAAACGAAACTTCAAATATAAAATTCAGAATCGTGAAAATTATATCTAATTAATTTTGGTGATGAAAAAAATTTTTTTTTTTTTGATAAACGTACGTATGTATATCTACTAATTAGAATAGTGGGACAAGTTTGACAAGTTTCACTTGATCAGCTGATACTCAAATAATTAAAAAATCAGTTTCTTTATCCACGTGATAGGTTAATACAGTTTATATTTTTGAAAGCTTAGACTAAACCGTGAAAAAAACTAAACTGATAAAACTTAATATACATGCGATAAACCCATAAATTAAGCATTCAACGTTTATTGTATAATTTTTTTTAAAGCCAATTATTATCGTTCTCAATATCTCAACACATCTTTGTTTGATGTTGGTTTGTTATTAAAATTTAAAAATGATAAGGTAAGTTTGATATACGGTATCCTCGATTTTAAATGTTTCTTTTTTGCCAATGCTTAGAACAAGATTTGCATACGTAGAATAGAATAGTATTTCACAGTTTTTTGGATTGACAATATAAGGTTGACCCAGGGCGATTTTCTGCGGTGATTATCTGTAAAATAATTTTTTTGGTTAAATTTTAGGTCAATTCTTTAATTATCTGTAATAAAATCAAATTTTTGCAAAAACAAGTGAATTCAAAGGTTTTTGCAAATTCTGTGATACTCTGCATTTTGCAGAAAATCATCGTCCCTAGGTCGACCACTAGAATTATCGATATATTTTTTATTAATTGAAGTCGTTAACAGCAATTAAATTATTATCAATATTATTTGACATATTGAATAAATAAAGAATTACTAAATTATTTGTTTTGACATTAGTTTTACAATAGTCTTGTGCAATTTAATAATAATTTAATATGTATTATATAGTTACCTCTTACGTAATTTAATAATAGCAGTAGTTTAATTTTAACTGTAATATATACGTACTAGTTTTTATTCTATATAACAGTTTTAACTACAATTTATATTAATATCAGTTTTATCATGTGACAAAACCCAAAACATAATAATGCTAAAAACGTTATGTCGACATCACTAATTCATAGCTATAAATTCAAATTAATATTTTAAATGTTTAACAAAAGGCGACGAGGATCTTCAACTTGTTCTTTGACTGTTTTCAAAAATGTTACGGCTTCACGGCCATCAATTAGACGGTGATCATAAGTTAGGGCAATGTACATCATTGGTCGAATTTCAACCTATTGAATTACATTTAATTATATTGAATTATATTGAATTATATTGAATTATATATGAATCATATTGAATTATAAAACTAGAATTAGTCATTATTCAATAATTAAAAAAAAAAAAAGGTAAAAATTTATAATCTGTACATACCTTGCCATTGATTGCGACGGGACGATCCTTTGTGGCATGCATTCCCAATATCGCGCTTTGAGGCAAGTTAATAATTGGAGTTCCAAGAAGTGAGCCGAATACACCTCCATTAGAAATAGTGAAAGTACCCCCAGCCATATCTTCGATGGTCATTTTCCCATCTCGAGCCTAAACAAAAAAAAAAATAATAATAATTAAAATACGTTTTAAATATTGATGATTTAATGAACAAAAGTATACCTTTTGACCCAATTCAACAATAATCTTTTCAATTTCAATAAATGATAATCGGTGGGCGCTGCGAATCACAGGAGTCACAAGACCCTTCGGTGTAGCAACTGCAACACTCATATCAACGTAGTCCCTATATATGATGGTATCACCGGACTCTGCTATAGATGCGTTGACAGCTGGAACTTCTTGGAGTGCAAAAGTAGATGCCTTTACAAATGCAGACATAAATCCAAGTTTGACACCATGCTTCTTGAGGATTGCATCCTTGTAAGTATTACGAAGCTCAATAATGTTGCTAAAATGGCATTGATTTAAAGTTTATTTATAACATGAAGATAATTTGTTAGGATAGTTTTGATGAGTGCATACGTCATGTCAATTTCATTGAAGGTTGTTAATGAGGCAGCAGTATTTTGTGATTCTTTCAGACGTTCGGCAATTCTCAAGCGCATTCTGTTCATCTTGACCTAATTAACAATGATTTTTTTTATTATTAACATGTCAACACCTTACTCTTTAATGATCAAATACACGAAGATTCAGGATAAACATACTTTACGATCTTCTCTTTCACCATAAGGAGATACATCATCTTTTGCTTTACTTAAAGGTTGTGATGGTTTTTGAGGTGTGGAAGGTGGTGGAGGGGGTGATGGTGTAGAGGATGGTGGAGGTGTAGAGGGTGGAGGTGTAGAGGATGGTGGACGTACGGAAAGTTGAGAGGGAGGAGGTGTGGATGGTGTTGAAATTTTGAAAGGAGTCTCTGAGGGTTTTGATTCTACGAAAGAGAATTAGTTTACATATAAGACATATACAGTAATGAATTTTAAAGTAAGAATACCTGGTGGAGGTGTATCTTCCTTTTGTTTTGGTTCTGGTTCTGGAGAATCCGCTTTTGAAGAGTCCGCTTCTTATTTTATTATTTACATATAAACGCATTATGAAAATATTATCCAAGATAATATAAAAAATAATAATATAAATGTACCAGCAGCAGTGACATCACCCAATTCCACTTTGCAAAGATCTTGACCCACAACTACGGTATCTTGTTCATTTGCGTATAATTCGAGTATTTTGCCGGAATAAGGGGAATTAACTGGAGCATCGACCTTAGAATAAGAAAATTAATGAGTATATATATATCACACACAAAACGGTTTTTGATTCAAGAAACTAAATTATTTCAACCTTGTCAGTTTCGATTGTCACAATTTCTTCATCCTGTTTTATAAAATCACCAGTCTCTTTATAAAAAAAAATGGATTAACGTTAAGCATGTTAATAGATAATATTGGTATTGGCATTTAATTTAAAGTACGAAAAAGCGAAATACTTTTGTTCCATTTTGCGAGTGTGCCTTCAGAAATTGATTCGGCTAACGGAGGAACCTTTATTATCTTTGTGGCTATTATTCATTAGAACATTTAAGAGAAAAAAATAATTTTATTATCTTAGCATAACGGAAAGTAAAAATGAATTACTTACCATACGATCTAATTCGCGCCTGGACAAATAATGAAAGTGAGGCATAGTTGTTAGACGAAACTAAGATGACGAAAGGCGAAACCTAACCTCTCGAAAGACGAAACTGACGAGGCTTCTATGGAAGACGCAACCCCTTGCGAAACCTCTGCGAAAGACGAAACCTCCAAACATCGATAAACGACGAAAGTATAAAAAAAATATGTAGTTAATAGGCGAAACTAAAGTGAAATAATTTTAAATTTAGCATATAATGTAATTGAATCAAACAAATTCTATAAATTCTGTAATACAAATATAAGATTAACTATATATAGAAACGTCAAAAAAAAAAGTTTTAGTGTAACATTTCATTACAATTGAAGATCTGATAACGATGTTTAAAACTTTTTTTTTATCGTTATCAGTAAACTTTTTATCGTTATCAATGTTGTCTTACTCTAGATTACCACAATATCGATATCTTATCAGGAACAGTTGAGTGTAAGAACGAACAAACGCACATATAAATACATATGTTGTGTCCAAACATGTTAGGTAAATTGCAAATAATCATAAACGACTAAGATACGTACGTACTGTACATACATTTGTCACCTGAGGTATCAATTTGTCAGTATATTGTAACAAAAACTATGAGTACGTATTACATGTTTTAAATCTTATGTATTGTATACTTTTTGCACGAATAGATCTAGGCGAAAGCTACGGGTACAACACTCACGTGAGAAATCCGACCATTGTTGTGCATATAAGCCTTCTAACCTTAAATCTAACGCTAATTCCGGTCATGTTTGTACACATAAGCACCTGAAATGTTGTGTTCGTAGCTTTCCCTTAGATCTATAGGTTCATAGTAAGTCTTGTCACATGATTAATTTTTCCGTGGCTCTGATAACGATAATAAGTGTTAATCGAATCGAATCGAAACGATTCAAGAATCAGAATTGATTCTAAAAACATATAATCGTTTTATTTAGAATGGTTAAATTTTTTAATTGTTAATAATATTCTTTCTGTTTTGGATAAAATGTAAATGATAGTGTTTTTGTAGAGTGCATCATAATTTGTGTTTAGCCATATTATAACGATAATGGCCAGTTTTTATTTAGTGTTTAAGGCTGTCACTTGAAGTTTTCATATAAACATACTGTATGTATATAAAATATATATCGATATCGATGTATAGATTTAAATAATTAATTCATATTATGATTATTTCCTATCGTCCTATCATTATAGTTACTATAACCAGAGCTAAACTGCGTCAACAACATTTACTTTATCATTAACTGATAATAGATCTATATTATGATTGAAGTTTTGTTTGGATTCGATTCAATTCGAGATGGGAAATGGTCCAAAAAGACAAGGTCCCAAAATTGTTTATCAGTTATTTAAGAACTTGATCAACAGTTCAAAGCTTCAGTTCAAATAAGTTTTTAAAGACCTAAGTCCCAAACAGTTTATTTTTTATGAATTTTGAACTTTGGATATTGTTCTTTAATAAGTACCTATCGCTATTTGTATTAAAATAATAAAAAGGTGTCACTAGACTTAACTGGATGGAATTCAGAATTGAAAGCATAATAGCTTTCGGGGATCGAATGTCTCAGGACCGTTCCAGTAAGAGTTTTTTACGTATAATAATAATCAGAATGGAAGTTCCGGTGATGTCCGGTGACTTTTAGTGACTTCTGATTGGCCAATTTGAAGCGTAAAGATTGAACTTTCCATAAATGTTGTTTAGAATAAAAATTATGATAAAAACATAAGAATCTACTATAAACTTAACTAACTTAAAATTAAAATTTGCGATTATATAGAACAAAAGAAGAAAAAAAAGTTACACATAGATAAACGAAATATTTAACTTTAACACATAGCTAACTCATTTTATTTTTGCCTTCTAAGTAAAAGTTGTTCGACGCATATAATCATTTTAAAAAATTGGAAAATAATTATTTTTGGAGAAGATACATCTTCAAGATAGGCAAAATTAGCAAAATTTTAATTTAGTTTTTTAAGCTAAATTTTTTATTCTATATAATCGCAAAATTTAATTTTAAGTTACTCAGCTAAGTTGAAAAAGATCTTCAGCTCAAATTTGATAGTAAATTCTTATGTTTTTACTATAATTTTTATTATAAACAACATTTTGAGCCTTATAAGGAGAGATGTCCTATGCCTGGTAAGTTCCGGATCGCAAAAAAGTCATTTTTAATATTAATAACAAGATCCAATTATTTAGATAAGTTACACGTCACATTTAATTTTTGCTTATTCACATTTGTTTAACCTGTGAATATAGTAATTATTAATCGAAACATTAAAAAAATGATATTGACTGTTTGGTAAATAGTTTATCAAATAACACTGATAATTATATGAGGGAGGTTCCGGATTTAGAAACTGTCGAATCCCTGATAATCCCTTTTAATTGATGATCGTATCTAGGGATGGTAAAGATTCGATCGACCAAATTAATAAATTCTTAGAAAATTGCAACGTTCGTTTTATTATTTCTCTTTAGTGCTCTAACAGAAAATTTTCCTTAAGTAACTTACTACAATGAACTTTAAAAATTTTTGTTAACTATAAAACTACGCCAAAACTTGGCAATTGCAACTTATATATCGATTTAGAACCGATAAAAATTTGAATCTGATATACAACTTTAATATATTCATGTAAAACCAAGCAAGCTCAAATTTTATTTCAATTATACGAAAACTAGTAGATTATAATAAAAGTCTACCAAATACTAGTCATTTATAATAATTTTTTACATATACCATCTGTTATATTATGGTCAAATAGTTCATTGTAGTCTGGGTTTATTGGTACTTCACAATAGTTATGACTTTTCGGTCTTCGTATTGGCCTTGTTCATAAAATGATTTAAATTATAACTTTCTATAATAAAAATAAATAAATAAAAAATATAAAATGAACAATTGCTCATTTGAACAATCAAGCAAAGACATATGGTAGTTTTAGTTTTGAAAAAAATACAATTAAATATTAAATGACATAAAATTTAATTATACTTTTCTCAATACTAAGACTACCCTTTAATCAACGGTTTTCTTAGCAAACTACCCATTTATAAAAACTTTCAATTGCTCGATTTTATGTATCAAATTTTCCGTCGAACTGTTACTACCACAGTTGTTACCTCCAAGCTATATATTGAAGAACTACAAAGTTCTTCAACTACAGCTCAGGTCGAAAACGTAACACATATCAATCCAACAACTATTCAGTAACGATATATTACCTTATACATATTTAGGATCAATCTTCTGCATATGTTTCGTTAGGTAACATAAACAGTCTATCCGTACGCGCTGTAATCTCTAGTAAAAAATTATCAAAACAAAAAAGTAAAAATAATAAATAATAAATAGATTCTTAAAAACGAAAGAAAATTCTTACAAAAAGTAAGAGCATAAAATAAGAAAGTAGCATGGAAAGTGATTTTATCTACTTTGTTGACTGTTTTGATTTTAATCACGCGTGCCAAAATGATCAGGATGATCAGTTTCTCAAAAAGGAAAATTAGCCAATCAGAGAACGTGAATCGTGTCTATCCCGATCGCCAACTTGCGGATAGTTGTACAAAAACCCCCTCGTGATTTTTATCCAATAGATTAAAAGATCAGGCGTAATGAAATCTTTAGTGTTAGAGGGAATTTTTTGATTAATTTTTTGTAGAAAGTGTATCAAACCCTTTGAAATATAGCATTCCGATAATGATCACCACCAGCTATAGTTAGTAAACCACTTTTTAGAATATTCAATTAATTATATGGTTTATTTTATAGAACATAATAACTATAGCTTATTTTCGGAGGCATACGGTATATAATTTTTAATGCTACTAAATCGAAAAAAAAACTTTAAAGGAACTTGCAGATTAATAAATGTATAGATATAATATGTGTAAATGTATGAAAAATTAGAATTTATTATTAGTCACCCAAACTTATTGATACAATATACATCTGTAACAAAAACTTATTACGATTGATAGACCAAACATATTGCAAAAACTAAATACTAAAGAATGGAACCGTTGAATAATTATCTGATTCAAGCATCTGCATCAGTATGTACTAAATAATTCATACAAACCAGTAAAAAAAAAAAGACCTTTTTAGTAATGTTTGCATTAATAAAATGAGATTAATGAAATAAATGAATAATGAATTAATTGAATAAAACTTTATCGTTTATTTACAGTAAAAAAAAAAACATGTATTAAGATTACGATTTTTCAAGTATTTTCAAGTATTTGAAATATGATTAATTCATACTGTTAATGCGATTGTTTAAGGTTTTCTTTTTTTTCAATAAACAATCATCAAATTCATAACCTTTTGAAGCAATTCATAAGGTCCTCTAATGCTATTGATTTTCTTGATGATTAGTTTTTATATTTTTATTTTGAATTCCATTGTATTTTCTTTATTATTTATGAAAATTTAAATCAAGTCTCTTTGGTATCAATAGTATTGCATCTGTTGATCTTTATACTTCGAAGACCTCGTTTAATTTGTCAAAAAAAAATTGCATAATATATCGTCATCAATAATGATACCTAAGTTTCAGAAAATTAAATTTCATGTAACTTTTATCACGTTATACATAAAGTACCAGACTTACAAAGCTCTGCTACCATTATTGTATCGTTTGATTTGAATATACGATCCGAATTGTAACTCCTAATTTGTCTCAGAACTAATGTCATGTGTTCAAAATTACAATTACATGAAATTTCAATTTACCTAATCTTGCACAAAGTTACGTAAATTAGTAAATTACGTAGAATTACTGAAATTTAACAACCCTATCAGCTATATATATGTTACAGGTCAATTGGTTTGGGTTTACTAATTTCCCCCATAGTTCTTATTGGACGAAAAAAAGTTCCTGCTTTTCGATCAAATAGTGAAAATGTCGTTAAAACAGTATAAAGGTCTAATAAACAAATAATATACTAAAATTTTGCAAGGAATCTTTTCTTGTTAGAACACGAAAGGTGGTTTTGTAACTAATATTTTAAGTTACCGGCGATTTTTGAAATACTTCAAAAAATTCGAAATTTCTTGTTACACCTGATCTTATAATTTGATTGGTAGACGAAGGTGGCATAGTCTACATTGTCCAATTAGAGACGGCATTTACAACTGTCCAATTAGAGACGGCATTTACAACTGTTCAATTAGAGACCGCATTTACAACTGTCCAATTAGAGAGGGCATTTAAAACTGTCCAATTAGAGACGACATTTACCGTGGGGAGAAATTAGGAATCCCATTGGTTTTTAGGGACCACCACCACCCAAAAAAGTTTCGAACATCACGTAACAAATACATTGAACACTGAAAATTAACAAAAAAATACAAACAAAAAAAATTAGACTAACAAAGTAATAACGATAAGTAATAAATTAATCATTTTATTTATTTCATATAATTCCATAAACTTATTATTTATTATAGCCAGAAAGTATTATAATTACGGTTTTTCTAAGTATTTGGAATATTGCCTTTAAAATGATTACTATTTGTTTTTTCAATAATTTTTTGTTGCTGTGTCCTGGATTTAAATAAATAATTAGGGTTATAATCTTTCGGAAGTGCATTAAAAATTAAATCTACAATATTTTCTGGTTCAATTGCATGTTCTTAATTAGTTTTTATAATTCATTTCTTTTTTCGTTTATGGTTAATGGAAATTTAGTTACGGCAATCAACATATTAGTGTATTTATTGGATTTTATGCTT